ATATTTCTAGGCAATAGATTGAATTTGAACCCAAAACACAAACTCACTGCCATTGAGTCACTTCTGACTCACAGTGACCCTAAAGGACAAGGTAGAACTGCCCCGGAAGGTTTTCAAGAAGGTAACAATATAGATGCATAAATCCCATAGGAAAAGAGCCCAGACTTTCTCCTGAGGAGTTGCTGGTAGGTTCAAAAGGGTGTCCTGCAGTTAGCAGCCCAATGACTTACACCAGAATCTAAGATAATGATAGGACGGAAGTTTCTTGATAAGAGTTCACCAGGCCTTACTCTGTAAGAGCTGTAACATGGTGCACCTCTGTGGACATACAAAAGAAGTTACATGTCAATTGAGAATCAGACCAGGCTTGTAGAATGTGTCCTTTGCCTCCATCCTGAGCCAACAGAGAAGCCTGCTGAGGGAAACTCCAGCCGAGCCTTCTGACGCACCTAAGCACGGAGGAAGCACCTGCTATAACTCAGGAAAGGGAAGAGCCCTTGTGGATTGTGTTGAAGGGTCCGAAAGAGACCCTAAATGTCAAATACAATTTAAAGAGAACTTTGATTAAGTCTTCACCAGGAAATAGACAAGATAGAGACATAGACATCCCATCCAGATGAGAATGACCGTGAGCACCAGGCAATTATCGTGTCCATGTATTTGCTGAGATTGAGATCAAGAAAGAACGTGGGAGGGCAGAAGAAGCTGTCACACACGTACGGTTGGCAGCAGATCAATATCCCCAGTTATAGGTGGGCTACAACAGCTGCCACAGAATGGGACATGGACAGTATGTTAGACAGAGGAGCTTACCCAATTCGTCCAGGGCCCTCCGACAAAGGCAGTGAGGACATGATTGACTCAGGACTATGCAACCCGAGGACTGTACTCTCCATCACAGACACAGCCAGGCAAGCCCTGAAGGGAGAGTGTTCTTCCCTTGGCTGGGTATGTGCATGGAGGTAATCAACTACCCAATGCACTCTACCTGAGGGCAAGACTTGTCACCTACTTGGTGAATGACAATAAAACGACCACCTCAACAAAGCAAGACCCCCAAACTCACAGCCATGCCATCCATTTTGATTCATGGTGACTCTATAGGACAGGCAAGAACTGGCCCTGTGGGTTTCCAAGACTCTAACTCTTTACATAAGGTGAAAGCCTTATCTTTCCCTCGAGCAGTGACTGTTAGTTTTGAACTGCTAACCTCGAGTTAAGAAGCCCAGGATATAACACATTTCACCACCAGAACTCCTGCTGATTAATGGTTAGAAGGAATTCAATGGAGGATTTTTCCAGGTGGTGCCTCTGCAGATAGGTTTGAACTGTTATCCATATCCTTCTGCAAACTGGATGCTCTAATACAATTCCCATTGTTAAATAGGAAGCTATCCATGTGAACGGTGGCCATGCCATCTTGGCGTGGAAAGCGGCTGTGACTTTCATGGATTTTCCATTTCTCAGTATTCATAAGGCAAGAGGAGGCAAAGAGCACCCTACACAGGCAAAGGTGAGCCAACGTGTTCTTGGAAGAATTCAGGGCAGGGTTTCTGGAGAGAGAGAGCAAGGAGGAACAGTGCTCCATTGAGGAAGCCAGGGAGATCTCCCAGACCCTGGAGAAGACTGTAAGCACCTCATCAAAGAGGGTGCCTTCAGCTCTCTCTGCCTTGAAC